TAAAAAATTGGTTCAAGAAAGGATAAATCATAATGGAAGAACACAGGGTGGGAGTGCATTATTCCAGGCTTGGTTAGTCTCTCATGCTGTGAAGACTAACACCATAGAAAATTATAAAGAAACAAAGGTTTAAAACTGATGTAAACCAGGGAGCCAGACTGCTCCTGCAAGCTGCTGAGTAAACTGTTGAGCTGGTAAAGCTAATATGTACTTCATTTTAGTGGTGTGAAAAATATTATCTATAAGCATATTCATTGAAAACAATGAATCAGCACCTAGTTCATTTGGATGGGACCAGAATCCTCAGTGCATTTAAGAATTAGTACTTCCAGAAGCTCCTGAGATACACAAGCATGAAGATATCTACCTCCAGCAGACTTCTACTCATGTTACTTCACTTACACTTAAAAGGCTCTGCAGGTTATAAATATGCTGGGAAATTAACTGTACTGCTCTTTTAATATGATAAAGATTCTGCACAATAGTTAGACACTGTTTATCTGTTTAACTTTGCTGTCTCTTCAGTTCTTTCTATAGACAATTAAAAAAGACATGACTGAAATTCTTCCTTCTCAGTCAAATGTATTGATGAATTTTAATAGAGAACATTTATTCCAACCTTTAATTAAGTTTGGTGGTCTGAAATCAATAATCTTTGCTTTGAAACTACATACTCTATCATGAGTATTTAAAACCATACAACTTAATCTTGCCATAAGGTTGATGTCTGAGTGATAATGCAGCTTTCTAGAATGCCTTTCAGTCTTTTAAATTGCCTTTCCTTGGTTCATGATGTAAAACAAACCATTAAGGATTTGCCCCAGAACAGGATGAAGCAAACCTCAGTATGAAACTGCTTTGGCCAAAAGCAACCTTTTAATCTTGAAAGGGTATTGTGAAGGTTGATAGGCAAGAAATCTAATCTACATTCTCCAGCCCATGTAAATCTTAATACAGAGCTACTGCTTAAAGAAAGAGTCAAACAGGCTGCATTTTCTGGTGTTATTCTGCTAGATTATTCAGGGATTCCTACTACCAATTTCCTTGTGAACATATTTGCAGTAGTTAGCATTTGAGGTGGAAATAATTTCATTTAAATATGTTTTGGGAGCAGTGCCAGAGTTACAGGCATTTTTTTTTTGTGTGCATTTGAGGGAAAGGGAATTTTACAAGCATGAAAATACACGCCTTGAGATCCTGAGTTCTCTTTCTAGAAAAAAAGGAGCCTCAAAGAGCATTAAAGTCTAAAATCTTTCTGGTAGCCATCTTGGACTTTTGCATCATCTGCTAGAAGCTCTTAACTGTTTTTTCAGTCTTTACTAATGCTCTGAAGTACAGCACACTTGATATGAATGGAAGATGAGACACCCTAGAGAACTCTTCCAAGCAGCAGCTGTTTGGAACACAACGATCAACAAAACACATCAGCTGGGGATACTTTGAATGAAGACAATCTTTGGGTTTGATTTAACAGTTTCAGCTGTTGTCAGAGTACTTGGCATCCTGCGAACAGGAACAAATCTTTCTGGTAACAGCCTTGGAGCTTGTTACTGTTCTTCCACTGAGGCTGGTATCTTTTTCCACCTCACAGTGAACTGGTGCTGTGAATGTTCCCTCTCTTGGTTGCACAGCTTCAGCTCCAGGTCTGTACTGAACTGCAGTTGGCAGATACTTTATTAATACAGCCTAGAGGAGTTAGGAAACTTTTCAGGCAATAGAGTATAAAGTAAAGCTGATTACAAAAAAAAAAAAAAAATCACTAAGTTTTGCAGTAGCTTGAAATTTATCCCTTAAATTTTCTCATGGAGAAAAATGCTTAGTTTGGAAGATTCTCTGCAAAATCAGAAGTAAAGGAGCAATGCAATTGTGAAAAATGAAAAAAGAAGGTTTTAATTAAGCCCTTGTCCTGTCCTGCACACAGACACATCTTTCATCTTCCTGGTAGAACTTAAAATTTAATTTTTATGGCTTTATTTTTCTTTTTTTTTAGAAAGCAGTTTATTTTGGGGAATGGGTCTTTTGTGTTAATCATTGGCTCTTCCATTATTAAAGAATCATCTGGGACCCTGAATGTTTCAAAAGGTTTGTGCCACTGAACTGTGGGATTTGTGCATGCTAACAGATCACAAGCTGGACATTTCCAGTGGTCACAGCACAGCCATGATGTTTGATGTGGATGCACAAAATAGGCAGTGCTGGAGAAAACCTTGCATTTTCTCATCCACACAACTACAAGGCCTGTCTCATTACAAGTAACTCATTTAGTTAAATCCTAGACACCCCAAACTGAGTGCTAAAGCTTCCACTAAATAGGGGGAAGGTGTCACTCCATAATTTCAGGTAATTCCATAGGCACCACTGTGATACAATTGATTAACTGTAGATTTTAGATCTGGCTGGAGAAGTGTTTTGGGGCATAGTTAAGAAAATGTGTGGTCCTTTCCTTTGCAGATGGTTACTTGCTCACTCCAGCGGAAGAGATTTTTGACAGTTCATCACAATAATACCATCATATTTCAAACTTAAAGTTGGTTTGGGTTTTGTTTGTTTGTTTACTCCATGAAAGAAACAAAAACGTAAGAAGCAGCTACTAAAATAAAATGTTAAAATCAACCGATTCTACTTATTTTCTGTCTGTTGTTAACTTGTGCTATTCTGTTGAATTCCTAGAATACTTTTTGAACAAATGGGAAGTGTGACCACTTTATTTCTTGTCTTCAGAAATGTAAACTCTGCACAAGTTTTATTATCTGGCTAGACTACAGGCATGTCAGGATGCCCTGTGGTGTCAGGTGTTAAATCTGGGCTAAAAGATGAAGCACACAGATCAGAACTGAGCTGATCAGCTCTTGAGAAAAGCTGAAAAGTGAGGATAAGCCACCTGCAGTGGCTAGAAAGAGAAACAACTGTGGGAGTCAGGTGAGTTGCCCTTGCAGTGAATTGTGAGTTTAACACTAGATAAAAGAATTGCATCTTCTCTAAAGGGCATTCATACCTAGTTTGTTTAAACCTTGAAATCAGGGAAGTATTGCACCAGTCAGGCTAAAAAGAAAATTGGAATACAGTTTGTATCAACCCTGAAGCTGGTCTCAAGTTCACTGAACTTCTGAAAACTTAAGATATATCCACTTTCTGGATCATATAAAACAACATTTACATTACTGCTTTATACTTTTTGCCTACTTGCCAATTTTGTTGAAGAACCTCTTATTCTTGTCAAATGAAAAATGAGCCAACAAAACTTCCAGTGACAGTGACCCAGTCGTTTAACCTCAGGCTGCCAATTTCTACATTCATTCCATGTTTCACTCTTTAATATAATTACTCCTGTTTGGAATAGGCAGTGACAAAATAATTTGACCTTTATGTATTACTACCTGATTAGTTTTTCCACATGTGCTGAAAAAAAAAAATTGCCAAATATTTGTATTAATATTCATTTAAAAGTGCTTTTGCATATCCTTCATGTTCTTTAGGATAGATGCTATGTAACAGAAAAGTACTTCTTTTGCCCTACAGCTAAGCAAATTTTAATTAGTAATTATTGAGCTTTATGTCTTTTGAAAAAAAAAAATCAGTTTAATCTGTATGAACATCGTCAGGTAAATATATTTAGACCAAGGAGCATTTCTTGTCACTATGACTACCCTGATCAATTGCGTTGCCACCCTGGCTGAACTGAAGGAGTTTTTGACTTTTTAGTTCTATATGAACCAGACTTAAGATCACAAACAATGAGACTTGGATGCTCTGATTCAAAGAGGCATGAGATGGAGTTCATAATGCCAATTTGGTTTCCTGTTGTAGAGTTTGTTTCCTACATTGAGATTCACAATGGCCCCTAAGCTAATTCTCAAGAAACTTAATCAAGACAGGGAGAAAGAACAAGACCTGTGAAACTCTGGCTATGTCTGTAAACTTAGTCTTTCTCAATCTGCAAAAAGTGTCTTAAGATAACCTGCATCCATATGTCTTTCCACCATTCTTAAAGCTTGGGTCTAATGCATGAGCACTGGCCTGCCAGCATTAATGGTCAAACTAAGTGCCTTGGTTACCCAGCTCAGCTCAGTGTTTAAACCCACAGATTTAGCTTATCTTGACTAAACATCTACCAGTATAGGATGCCACAGCCACCTGGCTGGCATCAGCCCTAAAGTAAGGTGAAGGCCTTCTGCTCTTCTAGGCCCTGGAGGATTCCATGTCCTTCCTCTGGATTTACAGGCAAATTTGAAAAACTTCTGTTTGTACATATATATACATACATATGTTTATTAATGTTAAGGGAAGTTCTGCCTCTGGAGTCTGCTAACCAATTATAAATGTAAGAGCCTTAAGTACTAGTGTAGAGAAGCTAGACAATTGAACATTCTTTCCGTGTTTTCTTTAACCTCTTTTTGCTGAGACACAAAACCTTCAGTCTGTGATCATAGAAACTACATCATCATTAGTGTAAAATCAGTATGGTAGGTCAGTGTTCCCAAAATAAAAAAAAAGGCTTTTTTTTATCTGCTTCTTGATGTCTCTTTTAACTGCTCTAAAAGAAGTTATTTATCATATGAATTTTTTTTAAACTTTAAAATATGTACAGCTATCTTTTGCCTATCATAAAGGTTTTAACACTTTTTCTTCAGTAAGAAATATATTTTAGAGAAAATTAAGTCATGAACCATGTGATTTTTTTTAGAGTCTAGTCTTGACTGTTTCCTAGTAGATACAGCAATATGTTATTTATTTGCATGCTCTGAAGCTTGACAGTAGTTACCATCAATCATGCTATCCATGTTTATTCTTGATGTACAAGCAGCACCTTCTGTTAACCACATAAAGGTATCAGAGTAAACCAGACATCACAGCAGCTTAATAGATTTAGTCATAGCATGATTCTTAATGAAATCTTTATATTAATGTATATGTCCAATATACTTCTAAAGGAACTCTGTCATGGATGAAAGTTAGCTGAGCAGTCATTAACTGAGACAAAGTCAAGGGTCACCTTGTACCTTTGGAAAAGAATGCTTCCAGTAACTGTAGCAAGGATGTGCAAATCTGATGGAAACTCTAAAACTTCAAGTATATCAGGGAGAAACTGGGCAACGGTCTCTGGGACTTTTACATTCTACTTCTCCTGCTTGTTCATTGTCTGACAAGCTCTTCAGCTTATTACCTGCAAAAATCAACATAAGACAACACATCTGATGTCAAATGGAAGAGTCATAAGAATGAATGCTTCAAATAATCCTTCTGCAAAAGTTGCTATGGCAGCTCACCACAGTATTATTGAACTACCAAGCAGCTATAAAACAATGTTTAAAGAGCTGAACAGATGAGGACCAAGTACTCAGGGAGAAATAACGGAACAGCTGACTTCAAGACTGTGCAAGTTTCAGTTCATTAGTTAAGTATTAGTAAAGTATTTCACAATAGTTTAGTATATTAGAAGAAGACACTACAACCAGACAAGCTGCTTGAACAGGCAGTTATTACTACTGGTGTTCAGAGAATTCAAAATAATTCTGTTGTCTATATTTCAACTTTTTACCTGAGGACTGGATTTATTTGGACATACAAATCAGTCTGTTCACTTGGCAGACATCCTACAGCCATGACAAAGTCCAGCTAATGCACCAAAGGAGAACACCTCCTTCATAGCCTATATATATATATACATTAATCTTCACTCTTATTTAGGCATTGAGACTGGAATACAAACTTTAACCCTGTGGGTACTATGATTTGGAATAGCTGTCTCTGTCATTCTCGGTATAAGGTTTCATGTTCCTGAGGAAAACCAAGGGATAAGACAACTCCCTCCAATACTGCTAAGGTGAGACTGGCTGAATTCTGGTGGAATCCAACCAGACTCTCTTGCCAGGAGGAGCTCACATGATGAGGGTGTTGCTCATTTCCTTTCCTTCAGTAAGAAAACTGCCCTATAGCAAAAAAAGAAGCTATAAATTAGGAGCTTCTGAAAAACATTTCTGGGTCTGAAGCCAAGAATGGTAGCTCTTACTAAAAAATTAAAAATAGAAAAATCTATCAGACAACAGTTTAAAAGAAGAGAAGGTAAACAATTCACATGTGACTGCAACATTAAGCATCTCAAGGATGTGATTTCTCAGAAAAAAAAAGTACTAGAAAAAAGCATTATTTTACTAGGTAGAAAAACGTTTCTTAAGCCAAGATGTCAATTCCCTCAGTTTTGCAATGACGGATGAAATAATTGGTCATTGTCCAAAACCAGGCAAACAGCCTCTAGCAACACAATAAAGATGTTACAACAAAGAACACTCTACACATGGGTATGTACAGGTAGCACTTGTGATACGGGCAAGCCCTTTCAGACTGATTCAGAATGCAGACTTTTTTTCGCGTGTTTTGCCTTAAGTAATGGGCTATTGGCTATAACTGGGAATGGTTGATTCCTTCTGCTGTGAGATGCGGCATTTTATGAAATGAAAACATTTTCCTACTTTTTGACTAGTTTTAGTCAAGCTGCCCTCCTAGCTCAAAGAATCCATCTGGTATGTAACTTCCCCTAATCAAAAATCAGAAGGTTCAAATTACAGTTTCCCAGGGGCTGTGCAAGTGTTAGAATGGAGAAGAAAGCTTTGATGGATCCAGGATGTAACTGTGAACTGATGCAATTAATGCCCCATGAGATTGCGATTGGGAACTGCCACATCCACAGATTAATAATATTTCTGGCGCTGAGATGTTACAAATTCTGGACCTTTCAGAACAGGTATTTTGTTGTTTGGTCTGTTTGGCTTTTCCCAGGTGTAATGCTTTGTAGAAGCAGCAATCCCATTACAGGGTGGGAGGAATAGTTTGGAGTTGGAGTATATTTGTTCTTTGACAATTTTGATAAGGTCCATGTTCTGATTTCTCTGCCTCATCTGCACTGTCTCTACCATGTTCCTCCCTGAAAGTACAATACAGCAACAAGAACTCCAGGAGCTGAAACTTGCAAAATGTTCTCTTTGAGTGGCATTAGCAGTCTGCAGAACCTAGCGTGCTACACACAACATGACAACTCTCCTTGCCTCCCCATTCTGCCATCCATATTCATAAGCAAATATAACAGTTACAAACAAACATAAGCTGTGTATATACAACAAACAACAGAAAAAAACTAAATATGAAAATGAAAACAATCTCTGAAGAGATTGTTTTAATGACAGCTATTAACTAATACATCAAGGAAGAAATTCCCACTCTTGAGTAAATTACTTTGCATGGGCAAATATCACCCAATAAAATAAACTGCTGATCAGGATGGAAATGTAAGGTTTCTAGCTTCTTTTAACTAAGTAGGTATTCCCCTATGTACAGAAAGCATTTTCATATGAGAAAGGTTTTCATATGAGATCAAACATAAGAGACTGAGAGCAAAATGCCCATGGTGCAGACTAATTCAACATGATTTTGTATAATGTTAAAACTTACAACTGATTTTTCGTTTTCTTCTGGGAAAGGGCTGTCAAAAGAAGCAGGCACTAAACAGACACGTTTGCTCTTTAAGCCTGCATGTCTATTAGCATTCCTTCTTGCTGTAGATCTGAAATCAAATGCAGTATGTTTCACATCGGTAGCTATGAGACTTTTCTGATTTTGATAGCTAGAAACATCCTTTTTACTTATTCTGCAATGTCGTTATTCTTTCCCTTCTACAAGAGTGTTTTCTAGAAGCTCCTTTTTATTTTCTCTTTGCACTTTTTACTCAAGGCCACTAGATTGCAAAGTGAAGTGTCTAACTCTTTTAATAACTTAACATGAAAACACGCACATCTGGTCATCTGCTGCTACAGCTCAAGAAACTCCAACGTTTCCGAAGACAGCTTTTGACTACGCAAACGGCAAACCAGGGCAAGGCGGGACTCAGAACCTCAAACCTTCAGCAAGTATTTTGACCAAGGCAGGGCTCCTCTGAAGTGCTACCGCAGGCGTGCCAACGTTATCTCAAAAATGCAAAATAACTTTTCCTAGCAACTGTAACATGCTTGGTTGTTTTGTAGCACTTGCCGCGGCTCGGTAGGTAGCCGGGCTCCCAGCCCCGTGGCTCCGGCTGCCCCCGCACCGGCGGGACGGCGCCCGGGCTCCAGCGCCCTGGCTCGCGGGTCACTCACCATGTTGACTTCGGAGACCAGGTCGATGCTGGCGATCTCTATCCGCATGCCCACGTCCACGGGCGGACCTGCGGGGGGAGCGGGAGGCGGCGTTAGCGCACCGCGGGGGGCCGGAGCGCGGGTCGGGGGAGCGCGGGCGCCTCACCTCCGAAGTCGGGGCGGAGGCGGATGTCGTAGCCCTGGAGCAGCCTGTCCACTGTCTCCTTCACGTAGGACATGTTGCTGGGCCCGTCGGCGCTGCGGGAAGGAGCACAGGCTGGGTTAGGGAGGCCGCCGGGGCGCCCCGCGCCCGCCTCCCTCCCTCCCTGCCTCCCTCCGCATGCTGGCGGCGCTCACCTGCGCGCCGCGCACGCCACGGCCAGCGCCAGCAGCAGCTCCCACGGTCCGGCCCGCCCGGCCGCCGCCCCCATCCCGGCGGCCGCTCACGGGGTACGCGCCGCGCGCTGGAACTTGGCGCGGAGCGGCGAGAAGCAACAATTCCCGACGGCGGAGCGCATGCGCCGAGCGCCGCGGTCCCGGGGGCGCCCCCTGCCCCCCTGGGCCGGGCCGGCCCTGCCGCAACAGGTGCAGCGGGAGCGCTGAGGGCGGCGAAGCCCCGGGGCTGGCGGGACACGGCGGGACTGAGAGCTCCGGGCTGCTGTGAGCGAGGGGCAGCCACTGCCGGGTGCGCCCCCCTCAGCCAGCTAGAGCGGGGGCTTCCCGTCAAGAGACTGCTGAGGGCACCTCTGTGTGAAAACGCACACCGATGGGGTGTTAGCCATAACGCGAAAGGGAAATGGCAAATTCGAAAGACATGGCGCGTTTCGGTGCAGGTAGCGCTCTGTCCCGCTACGGAGGCTGGTGGTCGCGCCCGCCCCTCGGGCAGCGCGCCCGTGGCGGAGCTGCCCCGCAGCGGCGCCCGCCGTGCCCCGAGCGGGGGGTCGTCTCAGATTTTTAGTTGTGATTTTACAACCAAAGTAATTGATCTTGCGTTTAGAACGAGTTGGTTGGTTGGTTGATTGATTGATTGATTGATTGATTGATTTTAAGACTCTTGGAATGGATGCTCTAATGTAACCTCACCTCTCGTGAGCAATATTACACGGTGACTGATCGGAGCCCTGTGAACAGTTTATGGCTTTGCCGGTTCCGTGCCGCTCTGTTTCATTGCACTGTAGCTCAGCAGAAATAACATTCATCCCTTTAGGATTCAACCCACTTCACCTGTGTGCTACACATCCTGCGTGTGGTGACCTTAGGATACGTGTTGGATGCTTTTGAGGCTACTACAGCGTCATGCAGACCTGTTTCTGAGAAATGGCAGACTTTTGATGACACTTTTTGTCACTGAAATATGCCAAATATCGAAAAATGCAGGAATATTGACTATAAATAGTTTGTGACACACATACTAGTGATAATTTTGAACATTTTAACAATGCATTTTTCTGTGCAAATTTGTTGCTCTTGGAGAAGGACCACAACACCCTTCCTGAGAGGTTACCATGGGAATCTTTCACATCCGCTTTCTCTAACCATGACAGTACAAGGTTATGAAAATAATTATTTTTCTGATGTTTTATAACAGTATAATAAACATTTTCAATTTTCTTTTAGAAGTATTACATATATTTCTTTTCCTCCTAGTTCAGTAATTAGTTGCTGCAAAATGTGACCTCTCAGCTCAACTTGATTGTACGTTAGCATTGCTATTTGGAAAGAGTTTTGTTCAATTACAATTGGTGTGGCTTGCATAGAGCACTTAAAAAAGAAATCCTGCCATAGGTGTCTATCACAAAGTAAATTTATTCAGAGTTGTATCACACACAGCCATAATAAAGTTCCCTGGTTTATCCGAAGCACTGAATTAGGATTTTCCATGGGACTATAGAGTCCCTTGTACTTCTTCGTGGTGTGCAGCATTATATTTAGCTTTGTCATAAGCCATGTGAAAGTCAAATATACCTGTGTGAAAGGGAGACCACTGCTCTCTCCCGCTTGCCAAAATTTGTTCTAAGGCATAAGTGCAGGCATTTATTCTATATGAATTTTTCATTTGCTGCACATTTTGGGGCAACTTTAGTTCAGATGAGCTGTAGTCTGGCTGCTGGACTAATGGTACATTAATGCTTGAACTGTTTTAGGTGCTTTTCTGAAGCTCATGATTTGGTCTGAGAAGGCATGACCACCGCCTGTCCTGCAGGTCTCCTGCCATTAGAGACACCTCAGCCCAACAAGTATAGTTCCAAGGACGATGAGGATGTTCTCCTTGGCAAGTCAGTTTCTCTGAAAACTCTCCCAGCTGAGCTGTCCTGGCTTCTACAGACCAATCTGGAGCTTCCTCCACCAAACATCCCAAAAAATAAGAGGCAAAGCTGGCATACTGTAGAAATTCAACTCCATTTTGTTCAACTTGATTGCTGGGGACATCTGGGCTCGAAACTGGGGTCTTGAAACAGCTGAAAATATCCTGCTGTGTGGAGACAATACTGAAATGCTCCCTCACTAATTGGTGCTTGGGAATAAAGAGGTTTATATGGTACTTTTAATAATCACACAAAGGAGGACCTGCATAGCATTACACTGCCACAGCAGGCATGGTGAGAAGGATTCTTTTTGTCCCGTGGGGTGGATGATGGAAACATGTCTGGGACCTTTTTTCCATTGCTTTCAGGACTAAAAAAGATTAATTATTATCAGCAGGACTTCCATTGTGACGTGTTACTAGCTGAAGTGGTAAACGGTTTAAGAACTTGAAATTCTGCTTTCTTTGCAGACGATCTGTTTCTAGAATACAGTATGCTTTTCCAGGCCACCAATGTGGAAGAATTTAGTTATTATTTCGACAAAAACACACCTTGTGACATAATTCTTGCTTTTGGCAGCTCTTTAATAACTCCTTATATGAAGAAAGTTAACATCCAAAATGAATGACTATGGGGAGGAGGCTAATTCTCAAAGCCCAGATATTATCAGTATTGTTCACAAACATTTTCTAAAAGCTTATACAGATGCCAAGACATCTGGTGATTGGATTTGCACATGTGGTTCAAACTGCAGCTGCTTCTGCAGTTGATAAACTTGATTCAAAACACAGTAGTGTCTTTCCATCCACTCCAGTGGGATTTGCTCACTCACTCAGGCTGAGTGAAACCTGATGGGTACCCAACATGGCTTTTGGGCATCTTGGAATTTGCTGAGCACCCCAGAATGTAGGCACTTAAGTAGATGTGCTAATTTTCAATTTTGGAAATCAGGCTGCTTAGTGTCTAAAGTCCGAGGAGGTTAATCTGGAGACTTTTGCCACATTTTTAAATGTCTCTCACCTCTGAGACAAGCAGTTGTAAATCTATGTTTTCTAATAAGATTGGAGATAACATATAGTCTAACAAGACTGCTATACCAAAAAAATTGCATGTTCCCTGCATGGAAGCATCTGCCTTAACAGAAGCATTAAGTATTTCTATCACTACTACCTTTCCTGTCCACTGCAACTGTCAGTGAAATGAGCTCCTATGGCAGAGCTGTCACCCTGACCCATGTGTGCTATATGGTGACACCAGCAGTGTGCTGAGGTGCCACACAGCCAGCTCACAGCCTGTAGAGCTGTAACACAGCTGTACCAAACCGAATTTGGTTTTCAAACTTCTGTGGTGGCTTCAATTTCAGCTCTTATGATCTTTTCTTATGGTTATTTTCTCATATTTGTATTCAATAAGCTCTTTTCTTGAAACCTTTGCTAATGATAGTGCCAAATTCCTTTCCCAATAATTTCTACTGTAGTTTAGTATATATAGGGTCTGTGAAATAGACACACAACTTGTGAAAAAGATTTTTAAAAAATATTTTCTGGTCTGTGTTAGTGAAGGCAGACCTTTTAGGTGAGAAATAGTTTCATATTTGTTAAACGTATATAAGCACTAGTAAACTAAAACAATTGAAATCCACTAGTTCTAACATATTAGCCCTGTCTTTTTTTTCATATTCTAGGCATGTCTAATGCCTACTAGAATCAAGACAAATAAAAATATAATCATAAAGAGTGATGCATAAACCATCCCAGGCCAGCTGCATGTTCATTTTTACCTTCATTATGCATAAACTTTCGTGGGGGTAATCTTTTTTCTTACACAAATGAATGTTTTCAGTTTATTGAAGACCTTTTTTGCAATGCTTATTTTAATTTGAAACCAGAAAGTGCACACAGTACAAAGGTAATGTCCTGCTCAGACAGTGTTGGCTAATTTAAAAAAATGCAACATCACTGAAAAAAATGGAATTTCTTCCTGTGTCCCACTGGATAAGATCTGTAGGCAGGAAGACCACAAGTTTTAATGAAACTAGGGGAGGAAAAATGCAAAAGTAGTGGCTATGCAATCTCTCTCTAGTGATACTTTGTGCCTTCTTAAATGTAGAATGAAGGTAGGTATATCTTTGTGCTTATACTCAAAAAAGTAAAGGCGAGCTGTGTGCCTCATACTGTGCACTTTGTATGTGGAGATGGTGACTGAAAATGTTAATATTCGTAATACTGACAAGTTTTGCGTCATTGCAAATAGGGACTTGCAGACCCAGGATATTCCTAATACGTATCCAACTGGAATTGCAGTTTTTCAGTCAGTGGAAAAAACTATTGCGGCAACAGGTACACCAGGCACAGGCCAGAAGCAGGACTGGTATGAAGTGTGAAAGCATCATTAATTAGGAAAACTTTATTACAGTATGACAGCATGCACAGAAAACAGATCAGGAAACCAAACTCAGGATCTTTAGATTATTCCTTGTCAGACATCTGTACCCCAGTGGTTGCTTGGCTGCATGGATTTTCATACTGCATATGCAGCTAGAAGAATAATGAGAATTAGAATGGGTATACATTTTTTTCTTACTTGGCATTGAGCAGGTGACATTTGTCAGCAACTATACCAATAAGATATATTCAAATTTTAGATCAAATTTGGAAAAATTAAGCTAAATGGTTGGGTTTGAAAACTATGAAACGAAACCTAGGAACTGTGAAATGACTACCTGTGGAAGTAAAAAAAAAACCTGTTAAAATTTATACTTTAAGAGGCAGGTAATGAAATAGGTCATTTATTTAATCTGCTTAGTGCTATTGTAATTTTATACCTACAGTAATTCCTTTAGTCAAATAGAGCTTGTGAGCCATCTTCTCAAATGACAGAAACCTGCAAGCT